TGGAATTTGAACTCAGCTTTCCAACTCCTCAATCTGAGCTACTATCCATTATTACTTTGTGCTTCTATAGGCAGGCAGCATATCTTCCAGCTGTATTGCACAACATTTCAAGGAACATTTTTGTCCACATTCACAATTTAGAGAAATGTTAATTGACAATACAATTATACTCCACCATGAAAATAAAAACAAAAACTTCAAATTCTTGAGGTCTTCTATATAAGAAAAATATAAGCAATACTAAATAGGATTAATTATGAGTATAACAGCAATGTTTTAAAATAGCTAAACTGTAAATTTATAAAAAATTATAAATATAAATTATCTCCCTTAGATAACATTAACTTTTGAATTAATAGAGCACATTTCATGTGCAAAAAATTCACAACTATCAATTACATCATTTTTTTTTTTTGTCTTAGCAATTCACCCCTGAAGATGATCTTGGATGAGACTGAAAGTACTTGGAAAAATAAAAGCAATGAGAAAAACTAGGGCATCCATAATGAATTTAATAACAATATTATGAAATTGATCAATGAATTTGAGAGGATTTAAATAAAAATAAATAGATATATGTTCAGATTATTCAACCAAACATGCTTGAATAATATATAATGGAAGCACAAGGGATTAATATATAATGGATAGTAGCTCAGATTCAAGAATTGAAGAATTGAGTTCAAATTCCAGTTGGGCCAACACCAAGTGGCAACAGTCTATTTCATGCTTAAACGCAATCTTTTATATTTACATACACACTATACTCTGAGATTGAGTACTTTAACCCATAACTATATTTTCATTTATGTTCCCACCCCCATTATATCATTAGTATAAATTTTAGCTCTTATTTTATACTGAGCACCATTTTATTACCAACTGAACTCACTGTGTGTGTATGCTACAAAAGAAAACCCTCGCATTTGCCTTGAGAAAGTCTCTCAGAGCACAAAACGCATCAGCTAAGTTTTCCTTTTGCCATATATATATATATATATATATATATATATATATATATAAAAAGAGATGAGTGAAATGCATATGTTTTATAAATTTTATTTTAAATGAATTCAACAACTGACAATACCTTTAACTAAAAAAGGAGCTCGCTTGCCAGTCACATGTCTATGATGTCACCATTAACTTTAATCCTTGTCTGTATCAGTGAAAAGATGCTACCTAATTGCACATATTCAGTGAAAAGCTGCTACCTAATTGCACATATACTCTATGTCTGATTACAGAGCCTCCCAACAACAAAAACAATTACATATAATCAATTTAAAAAGAAAGGAAGAAAATACTGGCTTTATGACTGTTTGGTTTCTTTCACGGCATATCAATGGGTTATTTAATGCTGACAAAATTTTTATTGTTGGTAATATTTTTTTTTAAGAATGTATTGCTGGTAATAATTTTTTTACAAAGTATCTCTGGTATTAAAACCTATTTTTACACTTTCATAGTGTTTTGACCCAAGTTTGAGGGTTAACTATTTGCCCATAGGTGCTACCACCCCAGGTCAGGGTGAACCTGGGAACACCAGCAATCAAGAGGTGGTTCCATGCTCTTCAAAACCTCCTGATCAGAGGCCTTGCTGTTGGACACAGTTTAACATCTTACCCAGGATGCCTTTTTGCCTGTGTCAGTCTTGTATGTTATGCTAATCACCATACAATGAATAGTGATATGGTTATGGCCAGACAAATCATCCCCCAAAAATAAAACCATTTTCCAATGTAACAATAATAATAGGAATTTGGAACATGTTTTCAATTTCTTTGAAGAGGTTTCAAATTAAGAATAACAATATTTAGTTTTCCAGCAATTATTTCATTCTAAATTAGAAATGAGTTGCAAGTAAAAAAAAAAAAAAATTAACCAGCTCTACTTATTGTATTCTCTAATCACTGAAAATCTTCTTGTTCTAAAGATAAATTTTGTCCATTGATGAACAAATATTCACAAATATAAAATATAAATTAAAGATAATGGAAAGAAAAAAAAAAAATGTTAAAATGAAGGGTAATTAAAATTTGTGATTTTAAAAGCATTTGTACATTATGTGAAAAGATAACAAAAAAATTAATTATTTCAAAATTATCCATGGAAAATATAAATGCTTCCATTTACAGAAATTCTCACAAAACTGACAAATTTCCTGTAAGTTATTTGTAAATTATTGTGGATAGCTATCAACATAGCCACTTGGGATTGCTTACTGTCAAGAGATCTTAATTGATTAGCAATCCTGCTTTGGAAAAGATGGCCTTGCCATAAATGTTGTATGTATGCTCAGGCTGAAAATTACCTGGAATTATGATTGTTTTGCTTTTTAAGACCTCATTTCTGTAGAGAAAAATGATGAGGTGGGTGTCAAAAAGTGCAGTGCGGTGCTTGCTGGCAGGCCAGCTATTTTTTCTTCTTCTTCAGTCGCCTCAAGGAAATGGATTGCATGACTTCCTTTCTCAGCCGTTACACTGGGCAGTTGTGAAACAGACACCAGCTCAGCCGCGCATACTTCAACTTCCTCTTTGTCCGTCTGTCAATCCGTACGTCCAGCTCTATTGCACGCTGTTTGCCGAATGACTTCGGTTCCGTTGTGCTGCTAGCACCCTGCTTTTTATGCTATTCCAATATGGCTAAAATTTGCATGTGTGCAAATATCGTCTTGTTTTGGACGAGATATGTGTGCATAAATTGCATCTTCAATAGCGGCCATATTTCTTTTTGTCATCGCTTTGCTGGCAAGACACATTCACACTTGTTTCGAATTCTGATGAAACTGTCATGTATTTCGTCACAATTTCAAGATTGCCTCAAATGGTGTGCTTTAACTACTTGGCTGTAGTGAGCTACACAGACAAGTAAGGTTCGATTACCCTTTTGCTCAGACCTTCTCAAAAGCCTATATCAGTTCACTTTATTTTCATATTGGAAGCATAAACAAAGTAATTTCTAAGAAATTACTGGTTACCAGTACATATTTAAATATAAATTGCCCAACATCTGAGCACTTTTGGCTTTGATTAGCAAAGATTTTTTATTTTCTGTGCATATATATGATAACATATAGTTTTAAGGTTTTCCTATATTTATAAGTGCTCAATATCAGGGATAGAGCATATGTAAATTAAAACTAAATCCCACCAAAACTATCATGGAAAACAGCATCAGCCTACAACAATAAATCCAAAAACTTTAAACTCTGCCTGGAGGAGAAAATAGCTATAATCACCTTCCCACGCCAACACCATGAAATAAATGATCAGAACTCATCTCAAAATGCAGACATAAAAACAATTCTTTATTACGTTACATAAAAATCAACAACTAAAAATGAATAACTGTCTATATTTTTGAGATGAGGTATTGTAATAATTTATACTATTTGCATTAGACTGTTGTTCTCATCTTCATTACCATATTCATGTTTCGGATATTGTACACTCCAGTCTTCCTCAAGGACACATGGTCAAGTGGATAAAAGCATTGGTTAAATCCAGTGACTAGATCCAAAGAATTCTGAGTTCAATACCTGGTTACAGCAGAGGTAAACAAAAACTTGGAGAGTTTAGTTGAGATAACTGATACTGAGCCATCCAGAAGAGGCATGGCATGTGGAAATAAAACAATCATCCCTGGTGAAATTCCAATCACCTGAAGAAGGCAGGAGTATACAATGGACGAAACATTGGGAATATAGCAACATAGATGAGGACAACAGTCTGAACAATGTAAATATAATAAACAAAAATAAGTAAAATAAATGATTCCAAACCAATAAACAAGTAAATAATATACAAATTAACAAACCGTGAATGCCTACAGAAGCACAAGTAAATGTAATAATAACAACCAACTATAAAATAATCAATAAATAAAAAAGTTAATGAGCAACATTATAAACAGCCAGATCCACAATTATTTCCACTCAATAGCCTCTAGAATAATTCTAAATATAACTGTTACCACCCACCAAAATAACCATTAGAACAATACAATAGACTACCCAAAATGCATCACTGACCTGTATTTATAAATAGTCAAGCAAAAACAATGCATATGGCCTGACAATTGCATATAAGCATGAAACAGACTGTTGATGACTTCAATGTCCACTTTCATATGTATGTATGTATGTAGAGAGATAAGCACTGTAATTGTTAGCTTATAAGATGCATGATCTGCAATGCTTATCTGGTATATTAGTGATCCATAACACTCATCAAAATTTCTGTAATTTTACATATATATATATATATATATATATATATATATATTTTGAACAATAAGAAAATAAAAAATTAAAATCTTTAGACACACTGGGTTGTAGATTAATATTCTTTCGTTTTTTTATTATTACTCCATTTAGCTTATATTCTAAAACAAAAATTTTCTTTCAACTACATATTCCTTAGTTTGTAGTTAAAAAAAAAAAAAAAAAAAAAAAGCACTAAAAACTCTTACACACAGTGTCTGTAAAATGATGCTGGATCACCTTGACTACAAATAAAAATGTTAATTTTAAAAACGAAAATGTTAAGAACGAAATTTCTAGGGCATATAATGAAGAAAGAAGGCTTAGAAAATTTGACACACACAAGACATATTGAAGACAAAAGGGACAGAGTAAAACAGTGCATAACCCTTGCCTAATGAGCTTGTGTAAATGAATGGGTTTAAGATAACAAAAAGACAAAATTTACAGGAAATTGTGAAGAACCATGATTGCCAATGTCCTGAAGAGTCAATGAACATAGAAGAATAGGAATGGAAAATAAATTAAAACAGAAAGCAAATTAGGACATCATTTTAGAACACTGTACATTCAGTCAAATCTTAGTTGTTCTGGAACTTAGCAGTTTTAAAAGATGCAGAAAATTATTGAGAAAAAGAAAGAAAGTTGCTTCTTTTGTCAATTTTTGCATTTGATTCAATATTTGTCATCTCCAAGAACAGATTCTTTTCCAAGGTAACATGATTGTTCTACTTACTTCTGATCCAATGATGCTCGTTTGTTTTTCACGTGCACTAATTTGTTCCTTCAGAACCAGAATGTATTCCTGTTGTTCTGAGTATTGCTTCTCTAATGTGTCCACCTGAAGTCGAAGACCACAAAGTTCTGTCTCTTTGCGACCAAGGCTTTCATTCAATTGGCCAATCTAGTAACACAACAAAAATGTAAAGTAATGATATATAAAATAGGGATTACCTCAGTCAGTCAAAAGAAAAAGAAAAAAATTTCACACATTTTGGATTACAGGAAAAAAAAAGGCATCACATTTCAACAAAGTACTCTGTTTCATTTAGGTCTTTTCATACAATGGAGTTTTTTTCGTTTTTTTTTTTTTTTACATTTCACCCCCAAGCAAGGCGGGAAGCCACTAGCACACAAGGGGTTACAGAAAATTGGGCGAGAGCAAAGGGTGATAGAGGAAAGGATGAAGAGAAGGATACAGGATAGATCAAATTATCTGGAGACATTGATTAGTCAATATTTCAGGCTTATCTTGAACAGAAGTCATTTTATATTAAAGATACATAAATATATATATATATATATATATATATATATATATATATATATATATATATGCTCCTAGGAAATCTAGTTGAGCTCTCTTGAGAAATCTAGAAAACAGTGGCTCATACCACTATTAATGCATTGCTGTTCAACCAAATTGGATTGAGCTCTCCAGGCCAATGATGTATTTTGCATAGAAAACGTTAAAATTCCCCTTCCTCTCTGCTGTGCAATGATAGCCTAGGGGTAGAACCTTTGACTGATATCAAATCGGTCAAGTTTCAATCTTGGCTTGAAGCAATCTGATGTCTAGCCACACTGAGCTGTGATACAGCAAAACAGTCTGTGGATGACATATATATATATATATATATATATATATATATATATATATATATGGTTATTCAAAAAGAATGAACAAATTTAAAAAATTTAATAAAAAAAAAATGCTAAGAGACAGCAACACATTACTAGATAGGGAAAGGGTTCAAAGTTTATTATTTTAAGCTGACACAAAACAACTTTTCTTGTGGTGTAGACATTTCAAGGATCAACACAAATAATAACAATTTAAATTTATACAAAATCTGAAAAAAACAAACAAAAACGGATGTAATGAATATGCATACACCTGGTTCTCCCTCACAGTAATATGATTGGCTGGTGTCAGCCATAAATACAGACTGATGTGGAGGTATAGGAGGACACCTATAGGCTATGCCTATAGTCTTTACCTATTGCCTACCACTACGACAAGGACCGGTCCATTACGGTTACCTGCTAGATTGCCCTCCCCGGTTACAGTAGTCCAAAACCATTTTTCTACTTCGAACAAATATATCCCTTTTCAGGACATATCAAAAACAAACAAACCAACAAAAAGAAGCATTTAAATAAAAAAAATTTTCATTTACTTTGACAAATTTGAACCTTTTCCTATCCAGTAATGTTTTGAATGTGTTTCTGCCTGTTAGCATTTGTTTTTATTAAATTTTCAATATATACTCTTTCTTTTTGAATAACTAGTATATAAATGTGTGTGTGTGTGTGTTTATTTTAAACACTGTTTCTGAAGGGAAAATTGCTGTTTTTTCAGTGGTTTGCTGATAAGGAGGCATTTAAGGTAATATGGAAAAAGTTGTTTTTTCACTTAACTCATGTTAACATGAATTAAATGAAAAAACTTTTTCCATATTAATTCTTTCTCTCTCTCTCTGTATATATATATATATATATATATATATATAAAATGTTAATTTGAAATACTGTTTTTGAAACTAAAAATTGCTGTTTTTTGAGTGGTATGCTGATAAGGAGGCATTTAAGGTATGCAGGCTTTGTGGTAGAGTGTTCAATATCAAAGACAGGGATAGAGCGTTAATAGAATTAATATAGAAAAGTTTTTTTTTTCACTTAACTCCTGCTTACTTCAGAGTTTCATGGCTATATATGTATAAGCATGAAACTCCAAAGTAAACATGAGTTAAATTTTTTAAAAATTAGCTGGTTATGTCATAAGAATGAGTGATGATCAGCTGCTGAAAATGCTCATGCATAGCCAACTTTTTCATTGCAAGTGTAAGCCGTTCTTGGTTACACTTCAAGGACAAACTCAAAACCGAGCAAACTGGAAAAACACCTGCTATCAAGGTACAACTGACTTTGAAAAGAATCGTCTTGACCATCTGAGAAAATTAAGAACCAAAATCTTGGGCCAATATATCACCCATATATATGGTCAACCCTTCAGCATGTCCCTCATGTTTACTTGTTTGCAAATCCCGTGCAGGATTGATGTCTCATACAAAACAAAAACTGAAATTATATATATATATGAAGAAATATACTCTTAAGGTGTGCTATATTTATGAGATAAAGTGCTCAATATCAGAGATAGTGTGTGTAAATATAAAAGTGAACATTGAAGTCAACACTTAGAGGCAACAGGCTGTTTCATGCTACACGCAATCATCAGGCTATGAGTGCTATTTTTTTCCTTGGCTATTTATATATATGGGTCAGTAGTGCATTGTGGGTAGTCTATTTTGGCGGTTATTTTGCCGGAAGTTGTTTGTTTATTTACTTATTTGGGTTAGATCATTTTTCTTGTTTTGATTTATTTTTATTTCTTATCTTATATATTTATCTATTTTACTTGTTTTATTGTCATTTTGTTTATTTTTTTATTTATTTTATTTTTTCAGTTTTCGATTTTTAAGTAATGTAGTAAAAATTTGTTTATATGTCTGCATTTTGAGATGAGCTCGGGTCATTTATTTGATAATTTATTTTGGTCTGGGATGGTAATGATAGCTATTTTTTCCTCCAAGCAAAATTTGCAAGTTTTGAATTGGCTGTTGTAGGCTGAAGGTCTTTTCCTTATTTTCCAAGATATTTTTGGTGTGATGTGTTTTGTTTTTAAATTCCCAGATATATTAAGAAAGCATTGTGCTGTTCGTGTATTTATAATACATATAAATAATATTTATATATAAATAGCTTTAATTATCTTCCCAAACCTAAACAAAAGTATTAAATAAGCAATACAAACAAATTTTTACTACGTTAATAAAACACCGATTAAAATAAAAATAGATAAATATATAAGATAAGAAATAAAAATAAAAAATATTCTTCTCATTGGCTTTCTGGATTTATAATTTTCAATTTATTAGTGACATGGATATAGAGAAATTTTGTGTGAAATTCTCAGACTTAAATTATTTGAATGAGAATTTTCAGTTTTTGAAGTGTAAATGGCTTAATGGTTAGCAGTTTGGAAAATGGAATTGGTGAAGGAAGTTCAAATCCTGATTGAGACAAGTTATGTTCACCTTCCACTCATGCCTTTGTGAAAAATGGAGTAATCTCGTCTTACTCACCCAGATACAGATTACATAGCAGGGCAGATGAGGCTTTTTAGCCTTGGTTGGCAACCGGTATAGGAGAAGAGCTCTGAATTCAAGACCAGCAATAGAATTAATAAGAATATTGAAATTAATTGTGAAAATATGATTGGTGTGCAAATTGAAGGATGAACTGGATTGCAGTGATTTAGTTTTTGACCAATGTTTTTCAGACATTCAAGAATTTGGATGCTGGATTTTGTAATTATTCAACCCTATCCTATATGAAAATCCTTGTAATAAAACAAATACAAGAATACTAATCCTAATAACTGATAGGGAAAAAATTATTTCCATCAGGTATAAGTAAAATTAAGCAATACAATCCTAATTTTCTCAAGAAAATAGGTTCACATTATCGACCGGTTTATACTCCTTCCCTATCTATTGACCAGGAGGAGAGGTTTATCCCTTGTTTCCTGTTTGGGATTGGGTTTCTGGTTCCTTCTGAGGTTTCCTCATTGTCTTTCGCTCCTAGTAACTCTTTGCATCTTAGTGGCATTATTGGCTGGCTTCAGGTGAAATAATTAAAAAAAAAATCTGTTAATAATCCTAATTGTTTGTACATAATAAAAGTGTCAGAACATATTTTGTCCCCACATATAAAAAATTCATTTTTTGAACCTAATGAAACTCATTGAAGATTTCCTAAACTCAGTAATATAAAAATACATTTTTAAAGAGATCAAGAGACCTTCAGTAAGCTCTACTCTTTGGATCCAATGTTATAAAAATACATTGGATCTAAAAAGTAATGATCATTGACAGTTACATGAACTTATTCTTATGTAAGAGTCAGATTGTAAAAAGTTAAGCAAGTATTAAACATGATCTCTACTCAAATGTGCAAACGCTTAAAATAGTCAGGTAGTGTAAGTAACTTGTGGTTTATTGTGAAACTAAGCAAAGTTTAGTAACTAAGGAATTCGTTCAACTTTTCAACTGAGATTTTTGATGATTATATCTCTATCGACCCTGTACTGTTAGTCAGGGTTAGTTAAGCACCAAGAGGAGAGACCAAACTTATTAGTCATTTTTAATTGTCAAACTCACTAATGTCTATCCTATGTTAAAAGTGCCTTAACTCTACCAATATTGCTGAGAATTAAATTGTACACTACCGTAGCAATGAAGGGAAAAAACAAAGTCAGATCTTGAAAAAGAATTTCAGAAAAGAAAATTAGAATCAAAGTCAGGTTTTCATAAGTAAAACTTTGAAATATGGTAATTGCTTGCACTTGCCTACCAGTCTTGACCAATCACAGCCTTTCTTAACCCAACCCCCAATAAAAGTGATGATTTTTTGGATGACAGGTTATTCTGTCCTTTGTGTGTGAAGAAGGCAGTTTGTGTGTTACAAGTCACTGATATGGATTTTTTACTTTAAAAAAAAAATTTTTTATTTAGACTTCCTCTCCTTCCAGTAGTTCGGACTTGAGAAATGGATTTGGGAATTACGACCCCTGATTTCTGATTTTGGTTCTGGACCACTTCCATTGCCATTTTCCCAGAACAACACAGAATCTTCAATATATTTACCTTGATTTTTAGTGCTCGTGCATCAGCAGGACTTTTTGTTTCTTTGCTGCTAGACAAATCCAGTTTCCATGGCTTGTCCCCAACAGAAATATCTTCTTGCAATGAGAAAAGTTTATCTTCCAAAAGCTGCACCTCTTTTTCTAAAGCAGAAATTCTGGAATCCTACAATTAAGGAAAATGGTAACAATCAATTAGTGTCAAGAACCAGACAATATAAAAAAAAGGGAGGGAAGAGAAGGAAGTGTAGAGAGAGAGAGAGAGACAAGAGGAGGTGTAGAGAGAGAGAGAGAATCAAGAGAGATGGGAGAAGGCATAGGAGAGTGAGTGAGTGAGACAAAAAGGAAATGGGAAGACAAAATGGAGTGGGCAAATAAGAGGAGAGAGAGACAAAAATGGAGAGGTGAGGGAGATAAAGAGGAAGAGTGAGAAACAGAACCACAAAAAGAATAGTCCAACTACACAGAAAGGTCTATTCTATATTATTCTTTAGCATTTGTAGATAATACAGAAATTTCACAAAATATTTCAATCATTGTTGTTTTTATCAAAACACTGTACTGCTGTTTTGCCTTAGACTTCTTAGGAGACAAATTTCATCCATTTTTTTTTTTTTTTTTATAAACATTTCCAGAACTTTTTTTTTTAAGCATTTTTCCCCAAGCAAGGCGGGAGTGCCACTAGCACGCAAGGGGTTACAGCGAGTGGGAGCAAGAGTAAAGAGGCATGATAGAGGAAAGGATGAAGAGAAGGATGGGGAATTAGATCAAGGTATCAGAAGATATCGATCGACATTACATTTGAAGACTATAACTGTCAGGGAACCAAGTAACAGGAAGGGAGTTCCACAAACAGGAAGTGGGAGACATGAAGCTATTGGAGTAGAACAGATGTCTACATTTAACTGTTTTGACAGTGAAAAAGTGGGACCAAGATGCCAACCTAGTAACATGTTTAAATTCATGCAGTTTAGGAGCCAGCAAAAGTAGCTTGTTGTAGCAGTTACCGTGAAAATACTTGTAGAAAAGACAGAGGAAAGCAACAGTACATCTGTGAGAAAATGACTGTAGTCGAGATACTAGACCAGGACAAGGTGTGAAAGATTTATACGATAGATCCAGTCTAAACATAAATCTTTTTTTGCATACTCATAAATGCAAAATGCCATTCAAAATTTTATTATTATTCTTGCTACAACTACTGCTCAAAGTATCAGGGTATATGATCCATTTTTCATTGCCTGTGACAATTCTGTCTAAGAACAGCTCCTTTTCATATTGTAACAGCAAAGAAATTGATGCAGAAATACGACTGAGCTTGTTCTGTTCTGTCACAAAATGTGGCACCCATATTTTGAGTTTGGAATTAAAGTCTCTTTAAATGGTGAAAGGCAGTTGAGATACAGATTTTCAAACTCTTAGCAATCTCTTCCATTGAAATCGTCAGTTTAGTCTCCATGATGGTAAGAAGAGCATCTTCATCGATGTTAGAATGTCACCTGGAGTGTGGTTGATCATTTGTTAAAAGTGCCATGACAAAATCTGCCAGACCACTTCTTGACCATTTGAAGAGCACAATCCAAATAAATCTTCTGAATGTTTTTTTTTGTTGGAATTCTGACACTTACTCCTTTCAGAAATTCAGAGAGCAAAAAGCAAAAGTGCAACTTTTCATCCTCCATCCCTTAGATATTTTCTTGTGGACAAAATGTCAACATTCAACAAAAATCTGACTTGCAAATGAATGATGCAAAGTTCCAATCTAGAACAGACAAGAAATCCGCACCAATTTATTATTGGCAGGTATAAGTCTTCAGCCTAACATACACAGATGACACTGTATTGATGGCAGATACAGAAGGAAAACTGAAAGAATGCTTAGACAAGATAGTAAAGGAAAGAACTATTTACTTTTAAGACAATGTATGGCCATTAGCAAGAGAAACAGCTCAATTGGGATGTCAATATCAAACTGGTAAAAAAATTTAACTCTCTGGGTAGATGACGGAAAAAGTAACACAGAAATCGGAAGGCAAATTGGAATTGCAAAAATGCTTTCCAGAAACAAAGAAAAAGAGGAAAATTTCATCAGAAAGAAATAAGTGTGCTGAACTGTTATATTTGATCTATGGCAGCATGCTAGATCCTTAGGATTAGAAAGTTATGACACTTGTTCATATGACTTTACATAGGGAATTATGGTGAAGGAAATGGAATTATATCTTACCTTGGCTTCAAGCATGGCTTGCATTGTGTGAGAATTGGAAGGTAAACTCTTCATTTGGAACTGGGCATTTTTCAGTTGGTTGGACAAGATTCCATTCTCCTGAAAATAAGGAGGAAACAAAATGAAATTTTAACAATGATTGTGTAACGTTATAAGGTCAATTTACCTCACTCCAAAAACATTATATGGTCAATTCACCCACCTCCCAAAACATAAGATCAATTCAACATAGCCCTACAAAAAGGTGAATATATATGCATATACTGTAGACTACCAGTACTTACACCTGCCCTACTCCAGAAGACTTCAATATGAATGTTGGAGTGTTTTATATGCCTTCAAATTATGGTAAATATTGTTATTATTTCAATCCCTGATCCAGGCAGCGTGTACTTGAACAGTGGAAACTGCAGCAGTAAATAAGAACTGAACAAGATATCTGTAGATGGTCAGCAAAACAAGAACAATCTATCTTCGGAGATTAAATAAAGAGCTCAGTTTGAAATTCCCTGATGGTTACCTGTATCAACATGCACCTGATGAGGGACTAAAGGGTACACAACATTTGAAACATTGTGATAACAATAAAAATGAGGATAATGGTTAGTATGTGCAAATAATGGAAATAATGATAATTCCTTATCACAAAAATTCCTGATAGACATTATTTTGTTGCTCACATTTTTGTTTTGTTTACCATCTTTCAGTCAGAGTTCTTTGGATTTCTTTAGATTGTTTGAAAATGTGGAATTGGCAAGCCAATTTCAAATTTTGGGGTAGCCTGTTACATTTACTTTTTCACTAATACCATGGCATAAGGCATGGATCCATCTTTTCTTCCCCCAGCTATGGATTAAATAGAGTAGATTAGACACTCTAGTCTTGAGTGGCAACTCATCTAAGAAAAAGAAAACTAAACTCCAAAGCATGGACAAGCTACAGGAAACTACTTCCCTATCTTTGCCAAGGCGGCATAACAATTCACAAATAATAATAATAATAATAAAAAAGAAATCTGTGTAGCATCTTGATTGTCTATATTTTGAAGTGACATGGCAGAGTAGACTGTTCTGAAGATGACTTGAAATATGAAACCAACAATCACAATGCAGTGCTGATTTCTATGCCTACAAATCCCTCATCTATTATAATGAGAACTCTCCTGTCATATATAAAACAAAATTTTAAACACACACACACACATTACATACATATACATATATATATATATATATATGGAAAATTATAAACAGTGCTAGAACATGTAAAACTTGGGATGACCCATGCCCTTTGTGCCTCCATGAGAAATTGCACATTATTAAGCTTCTAAATAATAATAATCTATTAAACAATAGACATGAGTTAACAGTTTTTCTGTCACATCATCAGATTTATGGTTTGAATTATTAGCTAAAACAAGCACACAATATTATAACAGTTAATCCATAGCCCAATCATCAGATTCCATGGTCTGAATAATTAGCTAAGAACAAGCATACAATATAATAACTTTCATAATCCATATCCCAAATAAATATATGTTTAAATACCCTACAAAAAAAATAACCCTTTTATGAAGTCATCAAAAAACAAATTTACGGCAGTTTTTTTTTATATGCAAAACTCCTTTATAAAATAAATAAATCTCCCATGAACAAGCATACCAGACTAGGGTTAATACATCTTCCCGTTTCAAATTTAGACACCCCACATTTCCCTGACTTGACATCCATAGTAACTCTATATTGATATTTATTAACACCCAACACATACCTACCCAAATTAAACAATTTGCCCCTAGCTGTTACCAACTGGAAATTTTGATTTTCAATTATTAAAACACGTAAATTGCAGAAATCGTTATTCACCAAAAAATTCACTTGAAGATGGAACAGAGCTCACTTTAACTCAATTTAATTCAAATAATGATATTGAAGTTTTCAGCTCTTGTTTTGAAACATGAGACCTCTTATGTCGGCGAGTTGGAATCATATTTTTATATATATATATATATATATATATATATATATATATATATATATATAGTTTATGAAAAACTAGGTAATCCATTGTATGGGTAAACCTAAGGAGATAAAAAATCCAAGAGAGCTCAATGTAAATTCAGAGCAAATAATTTAAAATAAAAACAGATGGCTGTGATGAAATAATTTATTACATGGAATCTTAAAGTGGTCTGTTTTTATTTAAAATATATATATATATATATATATAGTGCACAAGTGATAATAAAACAGTGCTCAGAGCTAAAATTTATACTAATAATAAATGTACATTTGATCCTCACTGTTAGGTATATGGGAAATTATGTAATATATATATATATACACACACACACACAGAGCACTGCAAAAAACATTCTTTCCTAAGTTTGTGCCATAAACAAAATTATTTAAATTTCTTCTTGGTTAGACTAAGAACTTTTCAGTGTGTGCGTGTGCTGACATAATTTTTTTTTTTTTTTTTTTATATGCCCAAAGACATGAAATATAATAATATGAAGTGCTCAATGCTTAGATAAAGCAAAGCAATCTAAGACTGAATTAAAATTAATCAGCACAGTAACTCATTTGCAAGTTGACCTGATCAGGCCATGGGGGTCAAGATTTCTAAGATGGTGTATGGAATGGTTTCAAATAATTAACAACCAAGTCTGAATTGTAAATCTTATCAGTGTCCATGGTAAAATGACTTGTGGATGAGTTTATTTTTTTGAATTTCAACTTGATGCTGTATATATATATATATATATATATGTATGTATGTGCGTGTGTGTCTTTATTTATAAGTATTGCTTCCCATCATGGTTTATTCATTTTGTAGCCATTCTGACATGGATGGTCCAAGAGAAATTCTTGCTATCCCTGATTTCTGAAAGGCATTAATAATGTTCCAAGATATTTGATACTGCTTGACTAACTTGCTCTCTTCCCTACTCACTCAGCATGAAAATGCTTCAAGGTACTCAGGCATTACTTTATTTGAATCTTATAATTGATCTCCTTTTTGAGGCATATCAATCAGTAAAAAAAAAACTCTCAAACAATTCCTTAATAAAAAGCACAAAACAAAATAAAATAAAACAAATGTGAACTTATGTTTTGTTCACCCTGAAGCACCTACCATAGAAAAATGATGAGTGAGCTATTTTTCAAGATGAGTGAATTTGATCCTCACTGGGACCCCCATGATTATAACATGCCACTGTTTGAGCCAGACTCAATTATGCTCTGTAAATACAACTTATCTATTTTTGTGTGGCATGGAATGAAGCATTTCAGTTAATGATAAAGATTTTGGTAAAACAAATGTTTTATGAAGACGATTAACACAGAGGCAATTTGGGAGTTGAACATTTCCAATTAAAACAGTTGCTAAATTTATGAATGTTGTAACTGAGTTATCAAAATCAACAGTAGAAAACTGGAATGGTTTAACAACAAGTTTATTACCTTTTGGCACAGGGAAACAATGTGGAAGAGAATGTTTAGTTGTGAATGACTGTTTTCAGTAAAAGCTACTGCTCCTCCTGTTACTCCTCTTGATGTAGGAGTATTTTTACATCTTTCATTTGACAGCTGAGTCTGAACTTGTAGGGAAATATTCTCCTTCACAACACTGAAATATTGAAGACTTGCCAACCTTCAAGAACTGTTTACCGTAAATCTCTTGACTGTGTGTGTGTGTGTGTGTGTGAAATATTAAAAAATTTAAAAAGTAAGGACATATAGGTGTGGCTGTCAATTTCTCAATCATCAGGTGTGTAGTAAAAAAGGTTGCATTTTAAGACATAAAATATAGAAAAGTCTATGATCATTTAATCAGGGGTGGGTAGCTAGCATAACATGTACTTATTCTCATGCCAGCACTTGGAAAGTAATTTAGCTTTTATTCGATAGTCTGTGGGGGGAAATTCCAAAATACACTCCAGACATAATCTACATCACCGAAATCCAGATTTATGTACAAATGTTTTTCCTAAGATTTTCCATTCCACTTTGAGAACATGCTTTCAATTCTCACAAATACTTAGAAAGTATTGTACTATTTGTGTACTGCCTTCTCATGAAAGAAGTTTTGTGGTTATAGAATCATTGTTTCCATAGCCACTTGGATAGTACTGTCAAGTTCTGCTTTATGCCACTACAGAGAAATAGCCATAAGCCGTTGGGATATGGATTTGTTTATAATTCTCTTTCTCCTTGAATCAATTTATATTCACCATAACCTTGTTGCATTTTTGTGTTAGCATCTCCACATGTTCCCTTTAGATGCTGTGTAAAACAGAATATAAACTATATAAAAAATGTAAATAAATCAAATAAATAAATAAATCTTACATTTAAGTCAAATTTAACTGCTCCAAATTCTAAAATTCTCAGGACAGATTGGTTTTTAATTTTGTAACCCAAAGATAATGTGAACATTGTTCGAAAAACATTTATTCAAATTATAAATTGTTTGAATGAAAATTAATTAAAAAGGATATTTATACGAAATGATAATTATTTGAAATGCAAAATTCTTTATTGAAATAAAAATGTAACAATTAAAAGGGGAAATACACAAATGAAAATTATTCGAAATACAAACATCGTTAATAAAACAATTTAGTAAGAAATAAACCTTATAAACTTAAGTTATATAATACTGCACACAAATAGTCAAATAAGAAAGAATACTTGTTAATGGATGGCACTAATTTTTTAAAGTTTTCTATTTACATCATGGTATTTCATGACACTTGATATTTTGTGCAAAAGTTCTCAGAATTGAACCATGAAGACCGAATAGGCAGAAGTAAGGCCGAGGACCGAATAGGCAGAAGTAAAGCCGAAGACCGAATAGGCAAAAGAGCAATTTTTTAACACTAGAAAATTGTTCACACACTTAATAAATTAATATATAAATCATTAACCTATTCCATGGCTGCATTTCTGCTGCTTATGATTTGCTTACACTACAACTACAGTTGATGATAAAATACATTTCACTGCATTTTTTGTTGATAATCACAGAATTATTATGGAGGTTTCATTTTTTTTTTTTCTGAATTCAATGTTCTTTTCAAAATAGGATTA